TCCTCACGTGGCCCTGGCCATTATTAGCGTGATCCTCGCAGTGGAGAGCTCAGGAGACACGAGGTTCATTGCGGTTCGTCGCTCAGGGAGTCCAGGCTGCAGGGTTGCTCGGGTAGAAGAGGAACTTCAGCTACAGCCCTTGCACACCTAATGGAGCTCCTCGGTTTCCTCGCACCCAGCGTGAATGACACATCTGGTTTCTATGACCAGGCCGTGCCCGCGTATGGCAAACGGTTGCTCCGTGTTTCTGAAAATTACAGTATATTAAGTTTATACAAAATGAAATGATAAAGATAAAAATAAATCACCCAAATTATTTAATGCATACAACGAAATAATTATCCATATAATCAATAAATCGGATGGGCATCATATCAAATGCATACACCTTGTATGCGGGTCGCTTTCTTTTATTTTAAGCTTTGCTAGGTGGTTTTGGAGTAATTGCTCAAATCTCGTTTCGTTGTCGTTGATTTTTATTTTTATTTAGTTATGGAGAATTGATAACTTAATAACAATAAATGATACTATACACTTTAAGCATTCAGGATTAGTACTTACTTGTAGTAATGCCAACCAGTCCATCAAAATATTTTGCAGTGGCACGGGTAGTTTAACTGCATATCTTTGAATACGTAATATACAAGCACAGTATACATATACATATATATATATATATATATATATATTACCTTCCGTATTATTTAGTCTCGAAATCACTATTTGTTTAATTCATACAACATGAAAATGGCGTCAGCTGGCTGGTTATCGTATCCGCGACATCCTCTAGGTTATAGCTGACAGTCAGCGGTTTGCTTCTAAGTAAACACCGACGCTGAGCTATAGCCTTTTTGCACTGCTACAGCACACATACACAACTGGGTGTTCGGCAGTGCTGCGACTATGCTCGTTTTTTTTTCTCTCTCTTTTTCTTATATCACATATTTTCTATTATGTATGTGTGCGGTGCATCCAAATAAATGTTTTATCTACCTATATCTATCTACACCGCAACATCGTATTCAGTTGCAATTTCACCTATAAAATAATTACGTTTATTTATGGTAAGTCCAGTAGGCGAGGCAAGTCGTCGATATTACTTTCAAGATTACGTATGTATATCATGCTTCTAGTGCAAAATACAACAAACAATCGCATCGCTGTCGCACGCGCAATGATCACAACAATGCGCCTAACATTTTTTTTTCTTCTTTCCATAAAGGAAAAGGCAAAGGTTTTACACCATACAGCCAAGTCTTGGTACATTATTCTTTTTGGTACATGAAGTTGAATTATGTTTCTGTAGACATGGCCGCCACAAAGAGGATAGGCAATTTGAGGCGGCGTGCTTGGATTGACTCGTGATTCCTTAGAACGGGCCGATACGGGTATTTTAGTTCGAGATTCGTGTAATTTCGCGTTTTAATCTTCGATTAAGGCACAATCTATCCTATTCCACTTTAAACTAGATTTCACAAAATAATTGAAAGTCAAAATAAAAACGACACTTTTCCCTCCAAAAGGTCCAGAGCGAATCACAATGCACCTAACATCTCACATTGACACATTTTTTTTTAAATTCTCAATTATTTATTTGGGTCGGCAAAAGTTTCATCATACAGCCTCCTCATATATTTAGTAACTTTCTCTGTTTTAATGGAAAAGGCAACAAGCGCACATTTATAAATAAATAGTTTGTTTCGCATGTCATGAAGAGTAGGAGCTACGAGTATGTAAATTGTATAGGACAATATATGTGTCTACGTTTTTCAGTAAGTCTTTTGTTGAGCGCGGGATATCTTCAGGTTTGTTAGATATTTCCAGTAGTTGATCAAAGAGACTAAGGCGTACTACATTGAAGGATGTACAATTAATGAACATTAATTTATGATCAAGAGGTTGGCCAGCACTATTGCAATAGAATCAATCCAACATGTATTGGAGAGTCAATAATACGATGCCAGAATTTTGTCAATATAAATATTTCCCTCATAATTAAAACTACTCAGTGCCATTATTTATGTATAGTTCCTGGTCTTGGTCTTCCTATTAGAAGCTACGATAATAGGTATGTCGTCATTGTTGTTTCGCTCGCGTATAATATTAGTTATACGAGATATGGTCAAAAGCCTCCGACATAGTAAAGAATAGTCCTGCAGTTAAGTTACCGCTATTAATATTACTCAGTACCGATTTTATACGAATACGAGCCCTGTACCTCACCTACGGTGGGGTCGGGCTCGGCCTGCGGCGCGTGGTCGGGTTCAGTTTACGGGGTGTGCTCATGCTCTTCGGTGGCACAGCAGTTAGTACTATGGGCGCTTGATGAGGAGGTCGATTTCCGATTTGGGCCAATTTAAGAAACGAACATTTCTAAGTTGGTTTTGGTCTGAGTATTCTGGAATTATCGTTATTTTGGTATTCATAGTACAGGAAATTCGGCAGTAGTTCGGCATTTTTCCCCCTAAATATTTCTCTTTGGCATAGCTTTCAAGAAAATGGAATCTAACAGACATGGTTGAGATACGACAACGCTATAATAAGTATCTCATTTCATCGGGAAGTATACCTTACATTTTTACAATTATGAGATCTTGTACTCTTAATCTATTACGCCTCCGTATATAATTACCTCCATACGAGGGCGTGCGGACGCCTCGGGCTTCGCCCTCCACGGACCTCGGCCTGCGGCCTCGGCACGTAGGACTTCGTTTCAAAAAAAAATAATAATAATAAATAGCTCTTTAATGACGGCCATATTTAAAAATTACAAAAATATATCATGACCACTAATTATTATCAAACAATCCTAGAAATCTTTTCGTGCTAATTTTCAGTGCGAGCAAAGTTACATAAAAACGGCGGAAAAAAAATTTTTTTTTAGCCCAAATTATAATGCCATGTCATTTTCAGTCGAATTAGAAGAAATTTGTATCTATCGCCAAAAAGTTTGTATGGTAGCCGTATTGAAAAATGGTGAAAAATAAATTTTAACCGCTAATTATTATT